ACAAAGGACCACTGTACATTGACAGTCTGGCGTAATAATAGATTTCCTTCAGGTGTTTTGTGGAGTGGGTAAGACTGTTTTTAGTGGCAGGATAACTATGGCCATTGACATGCACTAGCCTAGCACCAGCGACCTCTGCAAATACAAGGACTGGATGGAATTTTAAAAAAACTGTCTCCACACGTCTCCGACACTCTGGCTCACTAGGAAATGAGGCCCTATGTGCAAAATTCCAAACTGATCAGCTGTGTTATGAAAGTTACTCTATATGCCTTTACTTGAGTAGTAGTTTTCTCTAATACATTTTTACTCAAGCTGTATTTTTACTTGAAACTCCTGTACTCGATTTTTCCATGTGTTTGAGAAAAAAATGTCTTGCCCACAGCACAGATACTGTATATTGTATAAGCGCCTCTTGTTAAAATAAGACTGTGCTACTGTGCTATTATAAAGTATGTATTTAAGTTTTTCAGTCATTGTCACATTGCATTGCCAGGGTTTTAAGTTTGTTTTAGAATTTTGTGCCTGTACCGTCACGTAAGCCATCATTTGTTACCACGTTGATGCAATTAGAACGGCATCCAAAGCATTATATTTCTTGAGAAACCGCTGTAGCCTCCAGCCACGTTTTACTTTTACACTTAATCATACTTGCGAAGAGTAATTTCTTATACCTCTACTTGCATAATGATATTTTGAAGTAATAGTATTCTCACTTGGGTAAAATTTTTGCCTACACTATCGTCGTATAATGCAACATCCAAAAATGGTAGATTCTCATTAATACCTGTGACAGTGTTTGAATAGACCGGCGACTTAATCCCTGATAAAAGCCCATTGATCGTCCTTCTCTTCGTCTCTTTAAGTAGCGCAGACGGATCAGGCAGCCTTTAGCTAATCTTTTTCCTCCTTCACTCTCTTCCTTAATTTCTCAGTGATGCGCTAATTGTAGCATCATTGATTTCTTTATAATGTGCACGTCGCGGAGCTCGCCGCGGGGGGCACGGAGTGGAAGCGCCAGGTCTAATTGAAGGAGTTATGGTTAGAGCAGGATGCATAGACTATTAATGAGGCCGGGTTTGTCATTTCCGCTGTTAATTAAGCGAGGAGCCATGGAAAGAGTAATTAAGGCGTTTTATAGAGATACTGAGAAAAGGCAGTGAGCAAGATATAGTAAAGACGACGGCTAGTGCATTAAGAGTGGTTAGAGAGTTCACCCAACAACCCAAAGGTCAGTGGTTCTTCTGTCTCAGCTATGACCAATATACTGACATTGTGTCTTTAGGCTAAACTTCCATTTTGAACATGTATGAATCTAACTTGGCTCACACCAGATCGATTTGTGTAGCACTCTGAACTGAGTACTACACATTTATCAGTCTGGAACGACTCTTGCTGAAAGTGATTAGGTACAGACATCATGACTAGGGCTGGGTATCATTAAGAAGTTCCCAATAGGATACATACCTCGATACATAGGCCACGATACGATACATATCTCGATACAGTGCACTTTTGATACAATATTTTTCAAATAGATCTGATACGGTTCAATAAAAAGTAAAGGCTAAATCATGGCTTTGATATTAAACGTCTTTGTTAAACCACTTTTTGAGCAAAGTGAATATGAAACACATGCATTTTAATCCTCAAAACTGAAAAAATGTCAAATGTGTCACATAAACGAGTTTCCTTCCTTTAAACAAGCAGCAAAACTGTAGAGTTGTAACACAGTAACTGAGTAAAATATACCAAAAAATACTGTTGAAGATATGTCGATACAGCAGCCCAAGATATCGATACTGTGTCTTCACATTAAATACGATGCATTGTTATTTTGATATTTTTGCACACCCCCTAATCATGACAAAGTTGATGTGAATGTGTCGTGTGAGTAAGTTGTGTTCACATTATCACAACATTTGAAACTTCACCTCAGTGATTTTCCTACACATAATTCAAGAGATTATATACTGCACATTTACAGTGTCCTTTATTGCATTGTTTCCCAAAAACTGGGTTGCGACCCTTGGATTTTTTTGGGTTGCCGTGTCTAGTGCCTCCGCTCAGTTTGATTTCTCTCCAGCGACCAGGTCAACAGCAAACAAAGCGGTCGAGATGGATGTAGACAAAGCCATATATTCTGTTTTGGCACCAATTCCCGAAATCGAGGATTTAAAGCCAGAAAAATGTTTAGTGAACTTTATCAAGGGGAAAGACGTTATTGTCCTTCATCCTATGGGATTTGGGAAAATCTTAATATACCAGTAAGCCCCCTTAGCGGCACATTACATATGTCACAACTAAATAGCAGTGATTGGTTAAATTAAAAAAGTACACACCTACTGTTGAGCGAATGAATCCTAATGCTGTGAGGTCAGACAGTTTCCATGAAGTGAAACCAGCTGATGAATCAGGCTTGTCACGATCTGCATGTAGGTCTGCATATACAGTTCTGACACATGTTGAAATGTTAAGACATGTTTTATAGTTTTTAATCTTTTGTATTATTTTATTGACTATATGCTGGTTCAGTTGAATGTTGAAAAGAAAAATAAATGAACTAAATGGACTAGATTTACTGTCCAAATGACTTATGGATCCTTTTATTGCTTCTTCAATGACTGTTTTTCATTGTTTCAAACTTGATTAATGCTAATTGTTCAGAGACACGATCACTCAGTCAACAATAAAATATCCTCATTAATGTTCAATAATGGTCAAACCCACCTTTTATTTTGTGATTTACGAATAATGTCTTTTGACTTGGTTCGCAAAGGTTTGTGAGTTTTAAAATATGGGTCCCCAGAAAAAAAAAAAGTCTGGGAAACACTGATTTATTGTATATCTGTATAAATAGAAGTACTGTAATATTGCCAATGTTTTTGTTTTGTTTGTTTCTATCTGTCCAGGGTAAGCAGAAAAATTGCTGAGTTGGCTAATTATGGTGCATTCACAGAAATCTTTATGAATGTACACTGTCCCTGTTAAATAAACCATTACATTAAATAAACATGTGCAATAGGTTCCTAGAAGCAAAACACTAACCACTCTCTCAATAAAGTAATATTTCTTTATTACAGAATAGGACCTTTTTCCTCTAATTAGACTAAGTACTTAAATAAATCCAAGGTAAACGGGACATTTTTCATTGTTGGCACGTCTCCTCCTCTCCTCTGCTGCCACACTCCTCTCACTTCTTCATATTTATGATCTAAATGTGCTTTCTGCCCGAGGTGTGTGTGCACATCTTGACAGAACCATTGCAGGTCTCAAAAGTACGGGGGGAGTTAACGGATAAAGCACGAAACTGTACAGTGACTTTGAGCTTTGGTCAAAACGTGTTTGAAATTCATAAAATGCTTGAATAATGGTAGGCTTTTATAAAACAGTATGAGACCTTGTTTGGAGTGGAGCTGAGAGTAGGGTCACAAGCAACTCCACAAGGGCCACATAACCTGTAGAATATAAACAGAATATAAGGGAACTGTTTGTAACCTGTAGCCTTATTGATTTAACAAAGGTACTATAATCACAACTGAACCAGGGTTGTGCTTTAACCTGTACATAGACGACACATCCACGTTTTTCTCATTCTCAATCTATAAACATGCCTCTTGTGAAAGCTCAGAACCTCCAGAAGCTCTGATTAATGATTGGCTTTCATTGGACTGGATTTCAACATTGAAACTGGAAACCCAAATGAGAGTTTCATGTGAGGCTGGTTCTGCTTTCTGATTGGATAGTCATCTTGAGTTATAACCAAATTATAACATAAATAACTTGGACGTCGTGCAAAACTTAAGGGGGCAGGAGTGCTACTTGGATATACAGACATTGTGCAGAATTGTCTTTTTGGTGCTCTTCAGTGCAGGGACCAGTCTAAAATACAAAGTTATACTGATTCACTCAGAAAGTACAAAATAATGAAAAGCCTTTAATACCACATGGAAGATAAAGTTAAAATCACGTCAATGTGTTTGGGCCCTTTCATCAGGGCAAACTCGAAATGGCTTTCACAGTGCAGATTTAGGGCCTGTTTACATGGAAATGCTTGCGGCTAAAAACAACAAAATATTTTATTGGAAGTGCCTTTCATTTAGACGGTGACGGTGTTTTTGGGGCTTAAAAATCTGAAACCACCCTCCAGAGTGGAAAAGTTGAATATGCTCCACCGTTGTGTTTCTATCTACACTGCCCAAGATGCAAAACTCTGGTCAGATCTGCTCACGTCGCGTACATGTTTACATCACATACATCATCACCTAGGGTCACCACCTAGCCACCTGACATATACATACCCAATCGAATTCCACACACTTCATCTACATTTACATTTCATCTAAACGCGGAATAAAAAGTGACGACGCGACGCCACTTTTGCATCTTCTGTTCAGACCGTCATCATATAAACATAGCCTTAAAGTAATAAATGTAGGTCACATGTTCACAGTGCGCTGGCCCTCAGTCCCCTGGTGCATGATGGGATTTGTAGGCTTAGTTACAAGCTATCTAAGATAAGATATAAGATACAAGAAACATCTTATAAATAATACAGTTCCCAACAACCAATACATAGAAAAATACATAGTATAAAAATATATTTAGAGCAAAAATACATGTACAAGTGCTACAGATACAACATGTATAATTTGCATAATATATTAGAGGGTTAGTCTTACACAGTTTCATGGAGATGAAGATGTAATAGATAGGAACAGATTGCACATTTAAAGCTTGTTGTTTTAAAGGAAGGGGGAGAAATCTATCTCTCCATTCAGTCCTGGAAACTGGGTAGCTTTTTTTCAGTCTATCTCCTCCTCTTATTGCTTCATATCTATATTTTTTTGTAATTTTCATTTGAATTGTTATCAGTAAAAGTTATATTTAATTTCAACATGTTTCTCTCGTATTTCGGGACACATTTTATGATATTTAAAATCAAAATCTTATGTACAGTTCCTTTCATCATTCACGTTGTTCTCTCTGCTGTTCTCCAGGAAATCGTGCTGGTGGTGTTCTTCGGAGTGGAGTACGTGGTTCGACTCTGGTCTGCGGGATGTCGCAGTAAATACGTGGGGATCTTGGGCAGACTGCGCTTCGCCAGAAAACCCATCTCGATAATAGGTACGACAACAAACAAGCCCCCACACTGGCTTTAACAACATAACGAGATCAGATTTAACACAGCCCGGATAACACCTCCCACTCTCACCCCTGCTCCATTAGCTGCTGTTTGTAACTCCTCGAAGCAACACATTGTAATTATTAATTTGTACAGTTAAAATTTCAAAAACCTCCAATTCTGACAACTAATTTTGATTTCATTTTAGTCATACAGTAGCTCACACTTGCACTGCTTTGGGGCTAGTTTCAGCTGAGTTTAGTCCCATTGTAGGCTTCATTTGGCTCTTCGTTCTAGTCCTAGTCTAGTTCATGTTTAGTTTCAGGTTTAGTACCATTTTAGTCCCAATTTTGGTGTATTATTTTTTATTACCTTTCTGTCCATAGCGACCCATTGTAAAAGTATGGGCTGCTGGTTGTTTCAGTGTAGATTGTATTCATATTTTGTTTATAGTAGCCACTCTCTGGTCTTTGTTCTTTGTTCTGACCCTGTTCCTGGTGTCCCACAGACTTGATTGTGGTGGTAGCCTCCATCGTGGTGCTCTCTGTGGGTTCCAAAGGTCAAGTCTTTGCCACCTCCGCCATCAGGTAGGTCAAACCTGACTTTGAATTTAATTTCAAATCATCTGTGATCAGAATGGAGTGGTTTGGAGCAGAGTTCTCTTCAGACCTTGGAGGAAGAAATTTGACTTTTTGGCTGTCTGATAATGAAAATCTGATTTATTTGACAAGTAAAATCAAATTGAAAATCGATGGAAAGAAAGAAAAATATCCATCCATCCATTTTCTTCCGCTTATCCGGGGCCGGGTCACGGGGGCAGCAGTCTAAGCAGGGACTCCTAGACTTCCTTCACCCCAGACATGTCCTCCAGCTCCTCTGCGAGGGACCCCAATGCCAACCAAAAGACATAGTCCCTCCAGTGTTTCCTGGGCCTCCTTCCGGTGGGACATGCCCGGAACACCTCCCGACAGATGCCCAAGTCACCTCAGCTGGCTCCTCTCCATGTGGAGGAGCACTGGCTCTACTCTGAGCCCCTTCCGTGTGACTGAGCTCCTCACCCTATCTCTAAGGGAGCGCCCAGCCACCCTGCAGAGGAACCTCATTTTGATTGCTTGTATCCGTGATCTCGTCCTTTCGGTTATTACCCAGAGCTCATGACCAGAGGTGAGGGGAGGAGCGAAGACTGACCGATAAATCGAGAGCTTTGCCGTACATCTCAGCTCCCTCTTCACCACAATGGTTCGATACAGTGACCGAAAGAAAAATACGAAATTTTAAATCTTTTTTTCTCTTAGTGTGTTCAAACCTCTCTCTTGAGACATTGCTGATGATTCTCCATTGTGCTGTGTTGTTCCAGAGGAATCCGGTTCCTGCAGATCCTGCGTATGCTGCATGTGGACAGACAGGGAGGAACCTGGCGTCTGCTGGGCTCTGTGGTCTACATACACCGACAGGTAAGAATCAGCTGTAATAACACATTGTGCTCTTGATCGATTCAGACTGTTGTTGGTGAGCTGCTGTAACTACACTTGCCTCAGGGCTGATTGACAGGAAAGTGGTTACGGCCTCTCATTACAAATCATTCACACACACGTGTACACGCACATGCACACACACACTAACTAGTTAATAATTGGTCAGGATGTTTGAAGCCTTCTTAGCACAAACAACAGATAAGGCACAGGCTTATGTTTAGTCTGGCCACTTATTTTTATTCCCTAACACTTATTTGCTTGTCACTGTTCTCAGGCATTTTGTTTAATGAAGATATATTATGTTTCTCCCCTTCTGTGGTACTTAGTATTGAACTATAAAATATATTGTTGTTTTACATTTTGGTAATCATAAACTGCAAGATTTATTCTAAAATGGTTTAATAATAGAAATGGGTGCAGTGAGTTCCTGTTCTAAACTCACTCTAATAAGCAGCAGACATTTTGTGTTGTGTCTTAATTTTTTTAAACTATTGTAACTAAGTAGAGGGGTGAAAACTGACATTTTCTGAGCATTCAAGCCTGAAATACAACACCACACATGATTTATGTATGAACTGGAATGGACAGGATGAGAAAACACAATTATAGCATGGTTGAAAACTCATTAAAGTCCATTTTGCATCACATATCCCATTTACAGTGCATATGATGGGTTTTGATGACTCTCTAATCTCTACTTAATTTGGTGCTATAAAACCTGTTGTAAATATAAATTATAGTTTTACACCAACTGAGAAGCAATTTGCCAAGAAAAGCTGAAAAATATGTTGAAAATTGCAGAAAGTAGAGTTCCATTTTAGAGAATCTCACACTGAGGAGAATTCTATCAAAAAAAAAAAAAGAAAAAAAGAAAGAGGCACAATACTAAAACATATTTTTTCTGATACTTTAAACCTGATTTCAACAACATAAATGTGTTTTCTTGTCAGGTTATTTGTCAAATACTCTTCTACTACTCTTCCCTTATGTAAAAGTTGAAACCTAAATAAATGCCCGGAAAAGACAGAGTAAAATGTTTTGTAAATACTTAAAAATATAACAATCTTAACTATGGTTTACCAAAATGTGCAGTCTAACCTGTCATACGCACTCTAAAAGAGAAAAATGAGATCTCAAAACCCTGCGGAATTCTCTTGTGTTTACGTGAGGCTCCAGTGGTGCAGTGGGGTTTCCGAGCGGGGCTGTGGGAGCAGAGGTGAGGCGGCGTGGGCAGAAGGATGGACTAGGCGGAGTCAAGTGTCAGCGGGATTTAAGACCTATGCCCAGCCGAGGAACCACCTACAGCCTCCTCTTTTATTCATGTTTATAAAAGTGGGAGGGTATGTAATTACACTGTGGAAACTAAAATCTGTACACACAAATATCGTCCAGTCCCCATAACGTAAATCCGTTATTATTATATCAAACACATGATTTAAAGACCAGATATGGGCTAAAAAAGATTAAAAGTTCTGTACTTGTGATTTTTAGTGTCTTAAAAACATCCAAAGTTATTCGTCACTTGCATTCCGAGCATAAATATTCACCACAATGAGTTTCTAAGCACATTTCACAACTTTCAGAGACAGTAAAATGCTTTATAATTTGATTTATTTGATTATTTTTACCTCAAGAACTTCTTTTACACTATATCTGTACTGGGGTGAGACAAATTTTGCTCAAATACATGGAAAAAAAATGGGGTTCTTTAAGGTTACAATTTAGGTGAAAGTTAAGCAGGTAGTGACTATGATTAAGGTTGGCACCAGTCTCCAGAAAATTAATGCAAGTCAGTGTAACCTGCCCAAAAAGCGCGGACACTCAGAGTGTGGGTGGTAAGTTGGACATATTCTAATTTCATTTCAGCCCGGAGAGACAAAGAGAAGCATTAGAAAAGCTTAATTGAACAAGTATATCTTTGGCTCAGACCCTGCAGAAGACATTGCAATGGGCAGATTAGATGTCTTTCAGGAGATGTCTTTCCCCCCCGGGCCTGGACACTGGTGGCGGTAGAGGGTAAGAGAGGAGAGGAGATAGGGGAAGATGAGATGCCAAGAGGGATCTAGGGAGCAGGTAGGGGACGATATGAACTGGAAAAGTGGACTTGCCAACTAGATTGTAGGTCTATAATAAGGGGAGGACTGGATGATGATTGGGTGATTGAGCTTTGAAAACGTTGGTTGAAGCACCGTATTTCTGGGAGTATAAAAATACTTTTTTTTTTTTTTTTCCATGGTTTGGGAGGCCCTGCGACTTATTATTATTTTCACACTGACAGAGGGTGCTCTAGGCCTGTGTGCCAGTATCTGCTACTCCTTTTACCCTTTTACTCCTGTACCTGTCACTTGGCTCTACTGCGCATGTCTCCTGCAGAAAGAGCCTCTGTTCTGTCTGTATCATGTCAGTTGATCGCACCATTACTTCTGTACCACTGAAAATGTAAAATTTAAATGAACTTATGAAGACAACTGAGAAGACTGAACACAATGCCCTCAAAAAGAAAATCATATTTTGCAGATTACAAGTAGTGAAATATGCAGCTGAAAATGGTAATGCACCATAGCCTGATTCATCAGCTGGTTTCACTTAGTGGAAACCATCTGACACATTAGAATTTGTTTGCCTGACGGTAGGCAGGTACTTTTTTTATTTAACCAATCGCTGCTATTTGGTCGTATGTAATGTGCTGCTAACTGCTCTAACTGGTATATTAAGCTTTTCTCAAATCCCGTAAGAAGAAGGGCAATAACGTCTTTCCCCTTGATAAAATTCATCAAACATTCTCTTTGTTCCGGCTTTAAATCCTCGATCTCGGAAATCATTGCCAACACAGAATGTATGTCTCTTCGCTGATTGGCTGGTGCGCAAACTTGCATTTCCGGGGTTTTTGCAAACCATCAAGTGTATTCTGATTCCTGACCGCTGTCGCTGGAGAGAAATGCAATTGAGTGGAGGCATTAGGTGGCACCAGCCTGGCTATGTGCACCATGCAACTTTCCTGGAAGTCACTGGATGGATCAACAAAGCTTGGACTTCAATGACAACAGAAACCATCCTGTCGGGATTCAGAAAGTCCGGAATACTTCTAACTGGAACTGATGCTGAGTCTGACAACAGCTACACAGAAGAGGTAGCAGCACTCCGTTTACCTCCGGAGGTTGCAGAGTTGCTCAGAAGTGACACTGAGGATGGAGAATTCAATGGATTTAGTGAGTGAGATGGAGAGTTTGGTAAACTTGTTCTGTTCCATCCATCCATCCATTTTCTTCCGCTTATCCAAGGTCGGGTCGCGGGGGCAACAGTCTGAGGAGGGCCTCCCAGACTTCCCTCTCCACACACACGTCCTCCAGCTCTTCCAGGGGGATCCCGAGACGTTCCCAGGCCAGCCAGTTCTGTTCTGTTGTTTATGTTATAGTTATCTGAAGAACTGTTCATATGTGACGTTAACAGTCTGTTGTTCTCTCTTCTATTGTTTTTACTAGAACTTGACTTTCAAAATGAAATGTCAGTTCCTGGTCTCTGATTTTATAAAATAAATTTCCCAAAAAAGTGTGACTTATAGTCCGGTATGACTCCTATATGTTTTTTCTTCTTCATTATGTATTTTTTGGCTGGTGCGTCTTATACTCCGGAGCAACTTATGTTCTGAAAAGTATGGTTGTAAGTAGTAGTAGCAGTTGTAAGTAGTAGTAGTAGTAGTAGTAGTAGTAGTAGTAGTAGTAGTAGTAGTAGTAGTAGTAGTAGTAGTAGTAGTAGTAGTAGTAGTAGTAGAGTGTTATGCAAAATCGACTTTCTGAGGTGACAATAGCTCAGTTGGTAGCGCATTGGTCCACTGATCCGAAGGTTGGTAGTGCAATTCCAGCTCCCACAGATGAACACTGTTGTTGTGTCCTTGGGCACATACTTAACCCACCTCACCCCCAGTGTTTGTGAACACTGGTGTGTGAGTGTGTGCATGAACGGGTGAGTGGTTTTTTGATGTAAAGCTCTCTGAGTGCCTTCAAGGAGGCAAAGCGCTATATAAAATATGACATTTTTTGCAGCTACCGTGTTATAACGTTGTTCCCTCCTCAAAAAGATGCCTGAAGAAGTTTTAGATGTCATCCACGCATGTTTGAGTAATCTTGCCCACAGAAGAATGATTACCCCTCATTAGAGTAAACAAATGTTACAGCTTTTTTCACTCACCAATGTTTCCATGTGCTTTCATATCAAAGCTGCCTTCTGTAAGTTTATTTATTATTTTACGAGTAGAATGCAGATGTGAAACCTGTATTCCCCCTTCCCCTCACCTTGCGTTTGTTCAGTCTCTGTGCACCCTGATCTTCTTCTGTCAGACTGAAGGTGGTATACTGCCAGACAGAAGTATTGTAGATAGTCTCTACGGCTGATGTGTGAGAATACAACAGGGTCTGGTTGGCCTAAGTACAAACTGGAACTTAAAAGATCCATAATAAAACTGAGTGTGTTTACATGCACATCAGTATCCCAGTTATGATCGGGTTTTTTGAGTATCCCAGTTTCTTCATGGTGCATGTATACGCAGTACCCCGGTTTCAGTATCCTGGTTATGAGAAACCAGGATACTATAGATGGTATATTCCGATAGTAACGGGATACTGTGGCATGTATACGCAGTATCCTGAATACTGCAAAATAAAGTTGAGTGCACATGCGTCCAAAAGACAAACACTTTCCAGTCTTTTCACCACAACAGTAGTGCCATAAATAAAGTGACCAATCTAAACAAAGTGACCACACATGAGTGAAATGACTGTAAAATAAAAAGCTGTGCTAAATCTGCAGATGTACAATCTGCACTCATATGATCACTGAAAAGCTAAAACATGAACTATCTCCTATAAGCTATACGCACAGAACAGACTCACCATCATCAGCACCTCTTCTGTCACAAAAAGAACACACATAATCCACTGAGTCGTGTTCTTTAGTCCGAAAGAAGCTGATCGCATCAGCGG